TAGGTTTAGGGTTTCGGGTTTAGGGTTTAGGGTTTCGCAATTTGGCAGGAAGTTGTGGCAGGAATGTTCATGGGTAGTTGTGCGTACGCCGAATAGAACCAGCTGTAACTAGAATTAGCCTGAGCCTCCAAATGCACCCTCCTTGGCTACAGATGCGAGTAAGCCGGCCTTAACTTAAATTAAGCCCCAAACCCTAAACACGCCATACACCCTAAACCCCCAAACACCTAAACCACTAAACCCAAGGCCCTAAAACTCCTAAGCCCGGAAATCCCAGATCGCCAACCCCCCTGACAGCCAACTACCCTCAACCCCAACTGGTTTAGTGTCTAGGGTTTAGAGGGTTGGGTTCATATAGGGTTCAAATCTAAGGCAGTTTCATGGCCCTTTACAATAATGGTCCCGGACCTCATAAAGGGTCCTGATGTAAGGGCTTTCAATTTGTATAGGGTATACAGCGGTTAGAGGTACCCTTTTAAGGGCCCATATTAAGGGACCATGCAACTACCCTAAACCCTAAACCCTAAACCCTAAACCCTAAACCCTAAACCCTAAACCCTAAACCCTAAACCCTAAGGGATTTTCATGGTTTAGGGGCTTAGCCCCCTCCTGGCTCATGCCAGGAGCACACTGAGCCCTAAAGGCTTTAGGGTTTCCGGGTTTAGGGCTTCCGGGTTTAGGGCTTCGGGCGTAGGGCTTAGGGTCTAGGGTTGAGGGTTAGGCCTCTCGCGCTGCCAGCCTCCCTAGTGTCAGGAGTCTGCCTATCGACAGCATGCACGAACTGTTCGAGATGCTGCTTGGATGCAAGCCTAAACCCTAAACCCTGAGCCCCAAGCCCTAAACCCTACCCTTGTGTTAAACCCTAAACCCTAAACCCTAAACCCTAAACCCTATAACACCCTAAGTAAACCCTGAACCCTGAGTGAGCCCTAAGCCCTAAACCCTACTCTTTTTTGGGGCGAAAAACCCTCAAGCCGTCCTCGACCTTGCGGGTCTAGGGTTGATTAGGGTTTAGGGTTTAGGGTTTAGGGTTTAGGGTTTAGGGTTTAGGGTTTAGGGTTTAGGGTTTAGGGTTTAGGGTTTAGGGTTTAGGGTTAGCTTAAATGCTTCAACCCTCAGTACAGCCTCAAAGCCTTAGCCCCTTGGACACTCAAATCCTCAACCTGGAAAGCACTGCCTGAAGCCCTGCCTCGATCCGAAGTAGCTTCAAACCTTAACTGGGTTTTGGAGTCCTATACTTTAATACTGTTTTTGGTTCTGGGTTCCTATTATAGATACTTATTCCTAAAAAGTATATACTTTTTTTCCAGGGTCTACTCCAAAGGTGGGTTAAGCCCTAAACCCTAAGCCCGAAACCCTAGACCTTCACCGGGTTAGACCCTTAAGCCCTAAACCCTGAAGAGGCTCAGGCTTTGATTCACACAGCACCTTCGGTGCAGCTAAGTGGGGCTCTACGGAGGGGTCTGGCTTAGGGCTTAGGGCTTAAGGCTTAGGGCTTAGGGCTTAGGGTTTAGGGTTTAGGGTTTAGGGCCTCTTAGGGTTAGGGTTGAGGGTTTTTGGCTTACTGGGCTTCAGGGTTAGGGTCTAGGCTTATAATGGACTGCGGTCAGGCTTTCTAGAATTCTGGAAGCATGAGATGATGTATACAGGGGATTGCACTGTTAGAGGGCTTCCGCTGTTTTGTAGGCGTTGGGCTTTCAGCCCCCTCAGCCTCTAGCCCTACAACCCTCTGCCAACCGAAAAGTCTTTGAGCTTGAGTGTTTAGAGCCAAGAGCTTCAGTGTTAGCTAAGACTGGCTAAGACCTCAAAACCGCAAGGGTTTAGGGTTTAGGGTTTAGGGTTTAGGGTTTAGGGTTTAGGGTTTAGGGTTTAGGGTTTAGGGTTTAGGGTTCAGAACGTTCTTCCAGTGCTCCAGGTTGGACGTCGATGGCACGGGAACGCTGACCTTGGCTGAGTTTGTTGAGGGCGCCTTGGCCTTTTAGGGTTTAGGGTTTAGGGTTTAGGGTTTAGGGTTTAGGGGTTAGGGTTTAGGGTTTAGGGTTTAGGGTTTAGGGTTTAGGGTTTAGGGTTTAGGGTTTAGGGTTTAGGGTTGTTTAGGGTTCAGGGTTTAGGGTTTAGCGTGTAGTCGCCCTAAACCCTCAGCCCTGAACCCTGAAGCGGCTGCTGTGTTCGGGGGTCTGGGGGCTTCGGGGGATGGAGGGCCCTTCGGGACCAGAGATTCTAGTTTAGGGACCTGGTCCTCGACCCAAATAGGTATTTAGGGTTTATAGCGTTCAGGCCTTTTAGGGCGTACAATCTCTAAACCCTAAACCCTAAACCCTAAACCCTAAACCCTAAACCCTAAACCCTAAACCCTAAACCTTATAGGAACGGGTCCCAAACCCGAATACTTACGTGCGTGCTGATTTGGAGCAAGGAAGGTTCTAGAGGCCTCGAGCCACGGGGATTTCTCAGAAAGAAGGCAACGTTTTAGTGTTTAGGGTGTAGGGTTCGGGGCTACTTCGGGCTACGGAGAGCGCAAAAGCACGAAGAGGCTTCGAGCGAAGGGTTCAGAGTTTAGGTGACAGAGGCGTGGTGCGTTTCAACTCTTCCTGGCGTTGTCGCTCTGGTTGAGTTTGGCATAGCCAACTCTACGAAATCCCTGGTTTCTCTACGCCTGAATCGGCGCGTGGCATGAAAAGACGACCCCCGAGCCTTTGATTTAGGGTAGGATTCGTGTTTCGGGTGAACCCCAGGCCCTAACCCCACCACCACTTGCATCCAATCCTATGCCTTCCCCCCTGCCCCCCAGTCTAGCAGGGCGTAAGGCATGGTCCCTAAACCCACGCCGAAAGCCCGTGCGCACGGCAAGGTCTGATGAATCTCGCCCTCTTGGACGTTCCGATCTGGACCATACAGCAACATGGCTCAGTATGCTGGATACGTGCCCAGGTCAAAGTAGCTCTCTGTATAGCAACTGGCCCACAACCCTAAGCCCAAAACCCAAAATGTTCTGGGTGTTTTTTGGGTTTAGGTTGGGACGTTCCCCCCCTTCTACTCACAGTCCTACATGGGGATGATCTGACCCTCCCCTCCCGATTAAGGGCTGCTGGTAGAAGGGGTAGCATCCCAAGGGTTCAGGGTCGAAGGTTATTAGGGTTTAGGGTTTAGGGTTTGGGGTTTAGGGTTTAGGGTTTAGGGTTTAGGGTTTAGGAGCCCACTTATGGATCCTTTGTGCGTGCCCTTCAGATGCCTGGGAGGCGACCGGGAACCTCTCTGGATTCAGGGTTTATAGGTTTTGTCGGGTTTATAGGGTTTGCAGGGTTCATAGGAGTTACAGCTATAGGGCTTATGAGGTTTGTAGGGTTTCTAGGGTTTATAATGTTTACAGACTTTTAGGGCTTAGTTTTTTTTTTGTTAATTTAGGGTTTTAGACAGCAAAAATTAAGGCTCCCGAGTTCAAGAGGCTCCACACGCAACCTAGACCCTAGACCGAGGTTTAGGGTTTCGGGTGTAGGGTTTCGGGGTTTAGGGTTTAGGGTTTAGGGTTTTAGGGTGTAGGGTTTAGAGTTTAGGCCTAAACCCCAAAGCTCATGAAACCCTACCTTGGATCCCTGAGATGGTACTTGTTGGGTTTGGGGACCCTTGTTTTAAGATCCGCCACAAAGGTAAGAGAAGGGCCATATAAAGAGAAAACCAAGGGAAACCTTTTAGGGGTACAACCTTAGGCGTGCGAGCCTAAACCTCTTCAAAAGCCTACACCCTAAACCCTAAACCCTAAACCCGAAACCCGAAACCCTAAACCCTAAACCCTAAACCCTAAACCCTAAACCCTAAACCCTAAACCCTTGCCCGACTTCAAGAGGGGGTCTTGTGGGACTGGGCTTCAGTTGTGTTGAGCCCCAACCCCAAAAACCCTTGTGAGCGAAACTCACAAACACACACACAAACAACTTAGAATCCTATGTGCCTGTAATTAAGCCCTACGCCCTCAATCCCAAACCTGCCCACGTCTTAATCCCCAAACATACAAACCGTAAACTCTCAACCTAGACCCTCTAAACCCCTGAACGCCAAAACACCTGCAAATTGGGATGTCCCCCCTTATGCTAACTGCCCTGAGTTGGGATTATCTCTAATCTACTGAGGACTGCTAGCATAAGGGAGAACATCCCAACCCTCAACACCCCGTAAACCAGAAACCCTAAACCCTAAACCCTAAACCCTAAACCCTAAACCCTAAACCCTAAACCCTCAACTCACCACCCCGTTTCATTCCTGGGTTCCCCGGGCTTTGCTCCCGGAGTTTTCGAGCCGAAGCCCCTCCAACCCCCACCACAAAGCCCCGCAAGATCCCCTCTAGCTGGGTTTAGGGTTTAGGGTTGAGGGTTTAGGGTTTAGGGTTTAGGGTTCAGGGTTCAGGGTTCAGGGTTCGTGGATTAGGATTGAGAGTTGCTAGGTTTCGGGGGCGCCCGAAGCCCGAACGTATACAACTCCCCTAGCAACCCTGAGATGAGCCTTCAGGCTTCAAGCTTCCCTAAGCCCTAAACCCTAAACCCTAAACCCTAAACCCTAAGAGCCCTTGTTTGTTTCATGCTGGCGCGACCGGATGTCTGACGGCTCAACGCGCTTTTCGCGCATGCTGCGCGGGTATCTGCAGCCTTCGGCTTAGGGCCAAGGGTTAGAGGTTTAGGGTTTAGAGTTTAGGGTTTAGGGTTTAGGGTTGCAAGAAGTTCCTGCTGCACCATTGTCTGTCCTTGTGAACCCTAAGCCCTAAACCGAACCCTAAACAACCCTCAACCCTAAACCCTAAAGCCTAGTCGTGCGCTGGACCTCACTTGAGGATGCTGCATGTGTGGAAGGCTTCCGGGGAGGAGTTGCTGGCTTTACCGGTGCAAGGCTTATCCGATGTGAAGCAGCTCAAGCGAGATCTGCAGCCCCGCTGCGGTTTCTCGCGATTTCGGCAGAGGCTCTTGCACGAAGGCATGCCGCTGAATGATGATGATCGGCTGGAAGCCCCCATGGATATTCAACTGGTTTTGGTGGCTTACTTCGCCAAGAGATGAAGTTTTGACTTCATGGGTGTCCTTAGTTTGTGGGAATAAGAAAGCAGAACATTTTTATTCCTTGGTTGTTAGTCAAGCAAGGTGCCCTTGCGCGATGATTCAGTCATGGAACTGACACAAGCCTCAATGCAAGGGAACGTCGCCGCCGTTGAGGAGATACTGCAGAGACCCCAAGACCCGAACCAGCGTACACTCAACCGGACAGCTACTCGGTACCCTTTAAACCCTAAACCCTAAACCCTAAACCTAAACCCTAAACCCTAAACCCTAAACCCTAAACCCCCTAAATCCTAAACCCCTTCTAGACTTTTGTTGGGTTCTAGGGTTCCTTTATCTAAGTAGCTATCCCCCAAAGGGTACCCTTATCATAAAATGGATACTGGAAGCCGCCCTAAACCTACAAACCCTATGAAACCCTAAGCCCTAAGCCCTAAGCCCAAACCCTAAACCCTAAACCCTAAACCCTAAAACCCTAAACCCTAAACCCTAAACCCTAAACCCTGCCAAGGCTATTTCCATAGCAGCATCTTCTCGGCGGACCGAAGTAGTTGGCTTGCTTCTTGAGGCCCTGGCCAACCCGAACGAGGTCGACGACACGGAAATCCCAGTGCTTGTGCATGCATGTCGCTTGGCTTTTTGGGGTTTAGGGTTCAGGGTTTAGGGTTCAGGGTTTAGGGTTTAGGGCTAAGCAGTGTCTGTGGACCAGCATCCCTTTCCTGTCATCCACTTAAGGAAGCAGCCCAGGCCACGAAGGCATGTCTGACGTTGTGAGCTTGCTGCTCCAAGCCAAAGCCTGCCCCGACTTGTCTGAAAAGTTTGGCAGCTCCGCTCTTTTCTGCGCCTCCATGGGCGGCCACACCAACTGCGTGCAGATGCTGCTGGGCAGTGAGCTACAGTCTGCTTAAGAACTCCCCCTGAGCAAATAAGAATATTCTTGCCTCTAAGGGTAATATGGGGATTAGGATTAGGGTTTAGGGTGGGTTTAGGGTTTTGGGTTTAGGGTTTAGGGTTTTGGGTTTAGGGTTTAGGGTTTAGGGTGGAGTTCTTAAGCAATTCGTAGTGAGGAGCTTAGCTTATGAAGCCGAAGTAAACATAGTGAGGAAGCCGGGCTGCTTAGTAAGCGGCAATAACCTATACCATGGTCACTTGTAGCTCTCAAATTAAACCCCAAACCCTAAACCCTAAGCCTTAAACCCTAAGCCCTAAACCCTAAACCCTAAACCCTAAACCCTAAACCCTAAACCCTAAACCCTAAACCCTAAACCCTTTCAAGTTCGCCTATCCTCTTTCGCAACTTCGCAGGCTGCTGCAGGCCCGGGCAGACATGGACAAGGCAGACGTTGATGGCCTGACGGCTCTCCAGAAGCTTGGTTTAGGGTTTAGGGTTTAGGGTTTAGGGTTTAGGGTTTAGGGTTTAGGGTTTAGGGTTTAGGGTTCAGGGTTTAGGGTTTAGGGAAGCTTGGAACACCACGGAGTTCCCTCAAATTGGGAATCTTATGTAGTAGGGTTCGTTTATTAATAGTACCCCCCCCCCCCAAAAAAAAAAAAAAGCAGAAAACAAAAGAACAAGGACACCCGATACACCCTAAACCCCGAAACCCTCATACCCAAGCCACTCATCAATATTTATATTAAGGCAGCAACAACCCTAAAGTAACCCTAAACCTTCAACCCTAAACCCGAAAACCTCCCCCCCCCCCCCCCCAACCCCCTGGCCCCTTCCGAGCCTTTTTGGGGGGACCCTAAACCCTAAACCCTAAACCCTGGGGGGCACCCAAGGAACCACGAAGTGACAATGCCCTTAGGGGTCCGGGTGCGCATGAACTTCGGCTACAACGCCGAGCTGGCTGGCTCCGAACCTCGGGGGGTTGGCTTTTTTTGGGGAGGATTGTTTATCTTTTTGTAACTCGAGTTTAGGGTTTAGGGTTTAGGGTTAGGGTTTAGGGTTTAGGGTTTAGGGTTTAGGGTTTAGGGTTCAGGGTTTAGGGTTTAGGGTTTAGGGTTTAGGGTTTAGGGTTTAGGGTTTAGGGTTTAGGGTTTAGGGTTTAGGGTTTAGGGTTTAGGGCCATCCAAGGAACTCCTCCGTTGCTTGCCGGAGCTGCGGGCTGCCCCCAACACCGCCACCAACGGCGCCACCGCCGTGTGGCTTGCCCAAAGGGTCCTAAGTAGGGTTTAGGGTTTAGGGTTTAGGGTTTAGGGTTTAGGGTTTAGGGTTTAGGGTCCTAAGTACCTATATATGGGGGACACTTGACCAAGCCGTAGTTGTAATTCCCATTAAGGAAGCCCTACTGTCTCTTATGTAGGTACTTAGGAGCCTTTGGGGTGGTATCGTTTGTTTCACTTTTTGTCTTGTCAAGGTTCCCTTAATTGGGGGGCCCAGGGGGCCCCGCCGGTTTAGGGTTTAGAGGGCCTAGGGTTTAGGGTTTAGGGTTTTGGGCTTAGGTTCCCTTATCAAAAAACCAACCTTTGAAAAAGCGGTGCCATTGTTATCATATGTGCGCTTCCAAGGTGGGTGGCAGCTGACCGCGGTCACGCTGACACTTGGAGGCTCTTTCGGGTTTTTGAGGGACCCCGAGTAGGGTTCAGGGTTTAGGGTTTAGGGTTTAGGGTTTAGGGTTTAGGGTTTAGGGTTTAGGGTTTAGGGTTTAGGGTTTAGGGTTTAGGGTTTAGGGTTTAGGGTTCAGGGTTCAGGGTTTAGGGTTTAGGGCCTAGGGTTTAGGGTTTAGGGTTTAGGGTCTAGGGTCTAGGGTTTAGGGTGGAGTAGGCCCTTATTCCCACAGTCATTGGGTTTAGTTGGGGTTTGTGGTTCAGGGTTCGGGGTTTCCCTACTCAGGCTACTCTAGATATACTTGAGCCCCCAAATGTCCCGTCTCAGACAGGTGGCCCTTCGTATTCAGGGTGGTTCAGGGTTTAAAGTGTTAAGCGCGAAACCCGAAACCCGAAGCCCTAAACCCTAAACCCTAAACCCTAAACCCTAAACCCTAAACCCTAAACCCTAAACCCTAAACCCTAAACCCTAAACCCTAAACCCTAAACCCTAAACCCCCTAAACCCTAAACCCTAAACCCTAAACCCTAAACCCGGGCGATTCAGAACTGACCTTGTGCTGGGGTGCCTCTCACGCAAAAAAATCAGCCCCCAAACCTTAAACCCCAAACCAAACCTGGGTTTCCTTTTGTTATGGCAACCCTAAACCCTAAACCCTCAACCCTAAGCCCTAAGCCCTAAGCCCTAAGCCCTAAGCCCTAAGCCCTAAACCCTAAACCCTAAACCCTAAACCCTTAACCCTAACCCTAAACCCTCAAGCCTAAACCCTAAACCCTAAACCCTAAACCCTGCCCCAACCCCCAATAATACCTCCTGATCTCCTCCGAAATGAGATGTCTTGAGCAATGGCTTTAGACGAGCACATGCAAATGGGAGTTCAGGGTTTAGGGTTTAGGGCCTAGGGCTTAGGTTTAGGGGTTCAGGTTTAGGGTTTAGGGCGCCTGATATTCCACTAAACACCAGCACGTCTAAGGAGTTTCGTTGACCCCAGTGTGATCTTGACTCACCAAGGAAGCTCTATCTCTACTCTTGGACGCGAGAGCAACCGCCGACTTAGCCGACAGGACTGGGACTCCACCCTTGCTGAGTGCATGCAGGCGCCAGGAGTGGGTTTACGGAAATCAGGGACCCCCAAAAAAAGTCCCCAGATAGTATACGACTCCCTTAAAAGCAGAGACCCCATTAAGGTACCCACTAATCTCGGAAACCCCCCCAGGACGTGCGAATTGCGAGCATCTTGCTAGCAGGGATGGCCGACCCAAATGTGGCTGACAGCAGGGGGACCACGGCCCTCATTGATGCATCAGACGCCAACCGGCTGAAGATGGTTCAGGGTTTAGGGTTTAGGGTTTTAGGGTTTAGGGTTTTAGGGTTTAGGGTTTCGGTTTTAGGGTTTAGGCCAACCGGCTGAACATGGTGAACTTCCTGCTGGAGGCCGGTGCGGGCACAGACTGCGCGGACGTGAATGGCGAGACGGCTCTGATTCTTAGTAGCTGAGTGAGTACACTTTACACATTTTTGGGTTCAGGGTTTAGGGTTTAGGGTTTAGGGTTGAGGGTTTAGGGTTTAGTATAGGGTTTAGGGATACTATACCCCCCCCCCCCAAAAAAAAAAAAAAAAAAAAAAAAAAACTGAAAGTGCGCACTTTTTGGGGTCTTCTGAACTCAGCAACCAAGGATGCGGGCCGCAAAGCAAAACAACCACCTCAGGGTGGTCAACGCGCTCTTGGGAGCCAAGGCCGATGCGTCCCTGGCAGACAAGGCATGATAGGGTTCTTTAGGGTTTAGGGAGTTTAGGGAGTTTATGAGTTTAGGGAGTTAGGGAGTTTAGGGAGTTTAGGGAGTTTAGGGAGTTTAGGGAGTTTAGGGAGTTTAGGGAGTTAGGTTTAGGGTCTTTAGGGGAGGGGGGTTCCAGGGGCCCCCTAAACCCTATATAAAACCTAAGCCTTAAACCCTAAACCCTAAATCCTAAACCCTGCCTTAAGAACCCTCTAAAGGCGGCCACAACGCCACTCATGCACGCAGCCAGCGATGGCCAGACGGACATGGTTCGCTCACTCCTGGAAGCCGCAGCTCCTCCTGACGCGCCGATAAGAATGACGCTTGGTTACCAACCTTCTTACCCTAAACCTAAACCCTAAACCCTAAACCCTAAACCCTAAGCCCTAACCCTAAACTAAAACAAACCTAAGCCCTTGTTCTAATATGGTTACTGGGCGGACCAAGGACACGACGGCTCTGATGAACCGTGTCTTCACTCTAGTAGAGTGCTGCGTTTTGGTGGGCAGGGTAGGACTTGAAGGAGTCTTAGGGTTTAGGTTTATCGTTCAGGGTACCCTAAACCCTGTACACCCTTGACCCAAGCTACCCAAAACGGTCAGGTGCGCGGCGCAACACGGCCACGTGGAAGCTGTGCGTTTGCTTTTGGAGGCCGGGGCAGACGCGAGCTTGGCGGACAATCTGGGCGTGACAGCTCTGATCTTTGCATCCGATCAAGGCCATGAGGAAATCATGCGAACACTCTCTGCGGCCGAAAACAGGTCAAATACACAGGCTCCTAAGGGTGTCTAAACCCTAAACCCTAAACCCTAAACCCTAAACCCTAAACCCTAATAGGGGTTCGAGGTTTGGAGCGAGAGTTCTGCCTTGCTGAGTCCGCGCCTGGGTTGAGAGTTTGGAGCTCTGGGTCATATGAAACAGGGTTTATATGACTGTTATTGGTGAGTGTATATAAGGCTCCTGTTATTATTTGTGAGTGTATATACCTGGTGTCCTTTTGGGGGTTTTAGGGTTTAGGGTTTAGGGTTTAGGGTTTAGGGTCACTTCATATATGTCAGAGGGTTCAGGGTAGCTCTGAGCTGCAGTTAGCTAAGGGGCGATGTCAGGTTGAGAGCTTAGGCCCTAAGCCCTAAACCCTAAACCCTGACCCTAAACCCTAAACCCTAAACCCTAAACCCTAAACCCTAAACTAGGGTCTAGGGTTCAGGGCTTCGGGCTTAGGGATCAGGGTTTTGTGGCCAAGGTCCCAGCGGATGTTGCGCTCCGTGCGGACACTTGCGACGAAGATCGACCAGGTGGAGTTAGGGTTTAGGGTTTAGGGTTTGGGGTTGAGGGTTTAGGGTTTAGGGTTTAGGGCCTGCCCCAAATCCTAAACTTTAATCCCTAAACCCTGGACCTACTGGGGATTAGGGTTTAGGGGTTTGAAGGTTTGTTGGCGTAGGTCTTAAAACGGCGGGCGCATGTACCCGAACAGAAAGCACAATCTTGGGCCGAAAAAGGAGTTCCTATGCTAAGCCTTACACCCTATCTCAGGCTTTGAGTTACAGCCCCAACCCCTCCCCCAAAAAACATCGTCCAGAATTGAAGACAAGATCCCCTCTAGACACCCACAAAGAACATAGAATCCCCAATGAGGAGACCTCCCCCCAATTCACAAATTAAACAAGCAAAGAAACCGAGAAAAAGGGGCAGACCCCTATTTTTAGAAAAATATCACCAAAGATGGACAAATACTAGGACTCGCCACAAGAGCACCCCGACTGCAGCTCTCCAGCGGTACAGAGTCTATGCATGGTTTAGGGTCCCCCCCCAAACCCTAAGCCCTAAACCCGTTCAGCAGTCGGCTCTGGCGTGGCCTAAAGAACCCTAAACCCTAAACCCTAAACCCTAAACCCTCTCCAGCCGTAAACCCCGGACTTGCGAACCCCTAAGACCAAGGCTAGTCTCTGAACCTCGGCCCCTCTGTCCTGTTTTGAGTCTAGGTTCCCCTATAGGCCCCGTTAAACAAAAAAATGGTACCCTTTTTTCATTCTAGGATACTCTTGGGTCTCGATTCACTTCAGGATTCCTTTCGTGACATTGGGGACCCTACGACGATTTCAGGGACTTTAGAAACCCTAAGCCCTAGCCCTAAACCCCAAGCCCTAAACCCTAAACCTAAACCCTAAACCCTAATGGGTTCCCGTGCCAGGACATTCAGTCTCTGAAGGCACCGAACTCGCTGGTAAAGGCTCCATTGCAGCAGCAGCGGTCCCTTAAGGGGCTCGCCTGATCTGCAAGACATCTCCGATGGGCTTAGGGTTTAGGGTTCAGGGTTTAAGGTTTAGGGTTTAGGCTTAGGACCCAGAGCAGGCCCTTATTCCCTTTTTGGCGGGGCTAGGTTAGGGTTCCCTCATAAGCAACCAAAAGGGTACCCTTTTTGTTCCTAGGCTACTCTTGGGTCGTAGCCATAAACCCTAAATCCTAAACCCTTAACCCTAAGTTCCTAGGTTACTCTTGGTTCTAGGCTTGGATGGTCACGGTCCGACATACGAGGGGGAAGAGGGGTCCCAAAAGAAGTCTCAGGGTTAAAGGTCTATTGTTCTTTGTTTGCGGCTTTGGGGCCTAAACCCCAAACCCCAAACTCCAAACCCCAAACCCCAAACCCCAAACCCAAAACCCCAAACCCCAAACCCCAAACTCCAAACCCCAAACCCCAAACCCTAAACCCTAAACCCTAAACTGGCATCAAGAACACGCCTCAAGCCCGGAGCCGGGTTTTGCATCCGCCCGACCGGATCGCCGGAGCCCAGGAATGCGAGGGCCACACCGCGCGGTTTAGGGTTTAGGGTTTAGGGTTTAGGGTTTAGGGTTTAGGGTTTCGGGTTTCGGGTTTAGGGTACAGGTTTTGGGGTTCAGCTTTCAAGGTTCAGGGTCCAGGCTCTAGGGTATAAGGTTGAGGGTGCCTAGTAGTCTAGCTTCGGGGCTTTGGACCTCTTGTTTCAAGATACTGCGCTCTTCGGTCCGTGTGATGCACTTGCAGCGCGAAACCCTAAACCCTAAACCCTAAACCCTAAACCCTAAACCCTAAACCCTAAACCCTATGCTTTCTTCGAAGCTTTGGGCTCCATTGACCTGGATGGGGGCCTTGTTTTCGAGAAGTGCGGAAGCGCGAAGGTCCGGAAGCCTCAAACTCCTGGACCCTAGCGTCCTCTAGGGTTTAGGGTTTAGGGTTTAAGGTTTAGGGTTTAGGGTTTAGGGTTTGGGGTTTGGGGTTTAGGGTTTGGGGTTTGGGGTTTGGGGTTTAGGGTTTAGGGTTTGGGGTTTGGGGTTTAGGGTTTGGGGTAATTGACTTTAGGGTTCAGGGTTGAGAGCTTACGGTCGGAGCTCACGGTTTCGGGGTTTCTCGGTAGGACCCCAGATCTCCCTCTGCAGGTTTTGAGGCATCTTTTGGGATTTAGGGTTTAGGGTGTAGGATTTAGGATTTAGGGTTTAGGGTTTAGGGCTCAGGGTCCAACAATCTTTGGGATTCACCCCTAACCCTAAACCCTAAACCCTAAACGGCATCAAGATGAAAGCTCCTTCCACCAGCTTCTGCTGGCCCTCTGATACCACAAGCACCTTGCTTGCGTGATGGCGTCGGCCCGCAACAATGGAATCGAAAAAACCTAAACCCTAAACCCTAAACCCTAAACCCTAAACCCTGATCTTGAGGTAAGGGTTGGGGCGGCACTTCCGGGATAAAAATCGGAGATTCAGGATTGGAGGTATGAGATCCTAGATGCCCCTGCCCTGACTCTAACCCCGAGGTTTGGGTTTGGGGCTTGGGATGTAGAAGGTTCAGGGTTTCACGCCGTTTTTTAGTCTAAAGCGGTTTTTCGCATCCTGCCAGGGCTACAGGGCTTGTGTTTCGCTGTTTCGCAGCTGAAGGTTCAGGGTTTAGGGTTTAGGGTTTAGGGTTTAGGGTTAGGGTTTAGGGTTTAGGGTTTACTAAACCCTAAACCCTAAACCCTAAACCCTAAACCCTAAACCCTAAACCGTAAGCCCTGCACCCTAAAACCCTGAACCCTCAACCGTGCGCGTCTCGCACGGCCTGGATGCTCACAGCCCCATCAGACGAAATCCGAAAGGACCGCCGTTGGGGCGACTTACGATTGCAGTCCATGGCGTGTTAGGGTTTAGGGTTTAGGGTTTAGGGTTTAGGGTTAGGGTTTAGGGTTTAGGGTTTAGGGCTTAGGGCTTAGGGCTTAGGGCTTAGGGCTTAGGGCTTAGGGCTTAAGTGCAGTACCAAGTAGTACTTGTAGCTCTGGAGGGCAGTGAGCCGAGGCTTCGCAGCTTAGGGCTTACTAGGGTTTGTTAGGGTTTATGAGGTTAGGGTTTAGGGTGTAGGGTTTAGGGTTTAGGGTTTAGGGTTCAGGGTTTAGGGTTTTAGGGTTTTAGGGTTTTAGGGTTTAGGGTTTAGGGTTTAGGGTTTAGGGTTTAGGGTTTAGGGTTTAGGGTTTAGGGCGCTGTTTCACCCCCACAGACCTCGCGCCCAGCCATGCCGCAGCCGGCGCGGCGCCCTTTTGCCCCTCTGCCTCAGAGCAGTGGCCCTAAACCCTAAGCCCCAAACCCCAAGCCTTAACCCGAAACCCCAAACCCCAAACCCCCCAAACCCTAAACCCTAAACCCCAAGCCCTAACCCTAAACCCCAAACCCCCAAATAAGCAACAAATCCCAAGCCTGCAGACTCTCCAGCTCAAGCCAAGAACCGCAAGCCTCAACAACCTCGAGCGGCGAAGCTAGACAACCCCAAACCTTCACAGTTTATGAGGTTAGTGTTTAGGGTTTAGGGTTCAGGGTTTAGGGTTTAGGGTTTGGGTGCCTCCTTGGTTTCATATTGTCCTTCATTGGGTTGAAGAGAGGATCATACATAGGAATCGTTTCAGGGCCATCATAGTTCAACAGCCCGATCGTTAAGGCACCAACCCTAAACCCTAAACCCTAACCTCTAAGCCCGTTTTTTGAGGTCAGGTTCCCTGATAAACCCTACAGGGTACGTCAGCCCTTCGTTCCTAGATCTCGATCCCCGAAACCCTTGCCGTTTTAGGGTCCAGGGTAGAGGTTTTAGGGTTTAGAGTTTAGAGTTTAGGGTTTTGGGTTTAGGGTTTAGGGCTAAACCCTGAAACCCTGGAACCCCTACATCCCAAAACTTTCAACCCTTAAGCCCCCAAACCCAGCTACATATCCCAAGCCCTTCAACCCTGAAACCCTGAAGCCCTCTACCTCAAATCCCGATAATGCCCTGAGCCCTAAACCCCTTAAACCATGAATCCCTGAACCCCCGAACCCCTAACCCTAAACCCTAAACCCTAGCCCTAAACCCTAAACCCTGAACCCTGAACCCTCAGCCCTTGACCGAGACTGCCTCCGTGGAAGATGCCTTGCAAGAGGTCCAGAGGCGGAAGAAGTAGGGTTCAGGGTTCAGGGTTCAGGGTTAGAGAC